ATAAAAAATTTTTAATTCAACTCATATACAAGTATACTATTTATAGCAATCTACGAGTATAATTTAATATATATAATTAAATGTTATCTATTGATCTAAATGATCTATTTTATATATCATCTGTAATAATAGTTAATAATAATATATACTTACAATTATATAAAACATAATAAAGTTTTAAAATTGTTTTATATAAATAATAATTTGAATTATTAATTACATATAATTTAGAAAAAAAATTTAAAGATAGGATATAATTAATAAATATATTTAATTATTTATTTATAATATGACTCAGGATATAATTACTATAATTACCATAAAACAATAATGTATTTTTTACAATATATATATATATATATTATTCCTATACATTTCTATATTAAACATAGAAACATTTTATCGAAATTTCAATCGAAGTTCATTTAAATAATATAGATTAACAACAAAACCAATTAAGGTTGTTGCAATAGTTAGACGATAAATTATTAGATCTGATGTACCTCGTAAAAGAAATGTTGGTTTTGATAAATCAGCCTATAATTAAATATATAATTTATTATTTATTATATTTATTTTATCAATATAATTTTGTTAAAAAAATATATATTATACATACCTGCCATTCTTGTTGTAATTTTTTCATTTTTTCAGGTATTGTAGAATGATTTCTAGAGATAGAATTAGATGTAGATGCTATCTTAGTTTTAATAGAATCAAACATCATTTTTGGTGCTTCTATTTTTTCTAATGGTTTTGGAGACTGTAAATATTAATTATACTTTATATAATATTATACAATAATATTACTACACATTACACTACAAATACAATAAACAAATTTGCAAAATATTTGCAAAATATTTAATTTATACTTAAAATTTTTCATATAATATTTTTAAACTTTTGTTATATATGTTATGTAAAAGTATAGTTTCATTATTTAACATTTAAAATTCCTTTAAAATATATGATAAAAAAAAATAATATGTTCTTTATTAAATCTTATTAATTAATAATTAAAATGAAGTATTCGATTTTCAATTTTATTAAAGATTTTGTTTAATTTTTATTATTAATTACTCACTAAAGGATAAAGAGCTTGTAATTGAGTGGATTGTTTTAAACGGCCAGTAAAAGCACTAAATCGATGGAACGACATTTTCTCCTTTTATATAACTTACCTGTTCTTACAATGGCGCTTATCCGTACCCATAGTGATTTTTGTATTTACTTTCTGAAAATAAAGAAAAATATGTACTATATAAAATCTTAATGTTGGTAAAATGTAGGTTGGCCATTTCACAAAATTATTTTTCAAAGATTATTTTCAACTTATTCAAATATTTTATATAAAATATTAATAATATGTGATTGTGTATAATTTATGTACACAATTTAGTAATACAGCTTATAATTAAATTATAAAATATAAATTATTTAATATGATATTATTAACAATAATTTCTCTTATTACATTTTTATAATATAATTTTAATTTATATTAAATTTATTATACTTTATATATAAATGAAATATTCCTTTTATTTCATTTTACATCATATACTAAAAATATATATATCTAGTGATTTGTAT